CATTACTAGAGCCAGAGATGACAAACCAATTTTATCTCAAGTGCCAACACCTTCCTGGAATGCTACGGGTTAGATGTCATCTTCAGACTCAGTAGAAAAGGGTGCCGTGATCACTAAGATGTGTGTGGAAGATGTGTAACTAGTATCTGCTCTCTCTTAAGAAACCCCAGGAAGCATCTTCTCACAACCAGATTATATACTGTGGAAAACTGGAGAAAGAAAAATTTAGAAGTCAAGTCATTTCCTTCCCACTTTTCTACCTAGAGGATGAGGTCTGGGATGAGAACAGAAGCTCTGGGAAATAAAAGGTTAGTCAGTTTTCTGGCCCATACCCTAAGGTACTGAATGATTTATCACTTGATGAGAGAGGAAACCTATGTCAAGAGGATGATAAGACTATGCCTAGAGACTTGACAATCTAAATCAGGGTGGAGGGACACTTGGGTGGCTCAGGTGGTTAAGTGGCTGCTTTCGGCTCAGGTCATGATCTCAGGGTCCTGGGATCGAGCCCGGTGTCAGGCTCCCTGCTCAGTAGGGGGTCTGCTTCTCCCTCTCTCTGCCCCCCACCCATGCTCTCTCTCTCTAATAAATGAATAAAATCTTAAAAAAAAAAAAATCAGAGTGGAGAAAATGAGAGAAAAATGCCCACATAAATTGAGATGTCATTGGGTATGACATTAAGAAAAATTTTAAGACAATAATGGAAGAGGGTCCAAGTAACTCACAAGAGGAAACAGCTGAGACAAGTCCTGGAAAGAATATTTACAGCGACAGATACACAACAGTGCAGGTAATAATAAGTGCAGTATTATCACAGGGAAGCAAAACGACCTCATATGAATTACCAGAACTTGTGGCATGAGACTTATGAGTAAAATATATTGGTGTAAAGGAATAAAGAGAGACAGAAGGGGAGAGAAAATACAGCACACTTTGTGTATTTATATGGAAATTCACAAACATGCAAGAAGAATGCATTTGGATGAAAATAAACAAAGAGCAGAACAGATGTAATCTTGTCATGGTAATTAGACTGTTACCTGACTGTATTAATATATGATATCTCATGTACACATCTCTATTGGGATTAAAGTCTGATATTAGACTTTAATATTAATAGACAATATTAAAGTCTAATAGCGAAGAGGATACCAACAATTCAAAAAAGTGCTTACATCAGTTTGAATTCAGTTTTCTGTCACTCCTAAAGGAAACAATCCAGACTCAAACAGAAACTAGGATCAGAGAGAGGTTAAGTGACTCATTCTAAGATAGGATTCTATACCCAGATAAACATTCAACCCAGAGTGAGAGAAAATAAAGGAATTTTTAGACATGCAGGGTCTCATAAGTTTTACTTCCCATGTAATGCTTTCCCAGGAAACTACAAGAGAATGTGCTGCATCAAGGTAAGTGAGTAAACCAAGAACAAGGAAGACACAGGATCCAGGAAACTTAAGTTCCAACTCAAGAAAGAGGCAAAGGGAATTCCCAAGACGCTGGGGAAGGATGGTAATTATGCAGCCGCTCGTGTGAACCACAGTACAGACTAGCACAGTGGGTCAAAAGGTGGCAGGACTCTGGCTGGAGAGGGGAACCGCCTAGATGAAGATTATATAGAATGCCTGTTGGGGATTGTGGAATCAACAATATGTAGCTGGGGAGCCAGCTTCAAGGATGGTCCCGAATGATCCCCCTTGCTGGTGGTATTCACACCCAGGTGTGGTCCCTTACACTGTACCAGAGTTGGTCTTTGTGATCAATAGCTTATGGCAGAAGTGATGACACGTCACTTTCCAAGATTAGGTTATAAAAGGCTGCAGCTTCTATCCGGGGCACCTGTTCTCTTTTGGATCTCTTGCTCTGGGGGGAAGCAAGCTGCCATGTTGTAAGCAGCCCTACGGAGAGGCATATATGTGAAGAATTGAAGCCTGGCCAACGGTCATCAAGGAACTGAGGCCTCTTGCCAGCAACCATGTCAACAAGCTTAGAAACTGATTCTCCAGTTTAGTTGAGCTGTTTAATGACTTTAGTCCCAGATGACATCTTGACTACAACTTCATGAAAGACCCTGAGCCAGAACCACATAACTAAACTGCTCTCAGATTCCTGGACCTCATAAACTAGGTGAGATAATGTTTGCTGTTTTAAAAGCTGTCATGTTGGGGTGCCTGGGTGGCTCAGTCATGAAGTGTCTGCCTTCGGCTCAGGTCATGATCCCAGGATCCTGGGATTGAGCCCCGCATCGGGCTCCCTGCTCCGCGGGAAGCCTGCTTCTTCTCCCTCTCCCTCTGCTGCTCCCCCCTGCTTGTGTTCCCTCTCGTGCTGTGTCTTTCTATCAAATAAATAAATAAAATCTTAAAAAAAAAAAAAGCTGCTATGTTTTAATTTATTATTAAGTAGCAACAAGTAACTAATGCATATAAAAACTAAGGTACATACACATCAAAGCTAAGCAAATAAAAAAACAAGGCATTTTAAAAATTCTGAAAAAGTTACTCAAGAGAAAAGAAGTAGGGGCGCCTTGGTGGCTCAGTTGGTTGAGCATCCAACTCTCGAGTTTGGCTCAAGTCAGGATTTCGGGGTCATGAGACTGAGCCGCATGTCGGGCTCTGTGCTGGGTGTGGAGTCCGCTTGAGATTCTCTTTCTCCCTATCCCTCTGCCCCTCCCTCTGACTGTGCACACACACTCTAATAAATAAAATCTTTAAAAACAAAACAAAAAAAGAGGGGCGCCTGGGTGACTTAGTTGGTTAAGTGTCTGACTTCAGCTCGGATCATGGTCTCAGGGTCCTGGGATGCTCTCTCCAGGACCCTCTCCAGGGTCCTCTCTCTCAAATAAACAAACAAAACCTTTAAAAAAAAACAGGGGCGCCTGGGTGGCTCAGTCGGTTAAGCATCTGCCTTCGGCTCGGGTCATGATCCCAGGGTTCTGGGATTGAGCCCCACACCAGGCTCTCTGCTCAGCGGGAAGCCTGCTTCTCTCTCCCCTTCTGCTGCTCCCCCTGCTCCCCCTACTTGTGCTTGTGCTCTCTCTGTCAAATAAATAAATAAAATCTTAAAAGAAAGAAAAAGAAAGTAATCCATTTGGCTCAGCAGCAAGTAAGTTTTAGAAATAATAAATTAACATACTGATTTAGTCCCAAATTATAACAACAACTATGTTGCAGATGGGGGCTAGAAGTGAGTGTTTAAAAGAAACAACTAGGGGCACCTGGCTGGCTCAGTCAGTAGAGCATGCAACGCTTGATCTCCGGGTAGTGAGTTCAAGCCCCATGTTGGATATAGAGATTACTTAAAAATAAAAAAAAAATCGGGGCGCCTGGGTGGCTCAGTTGGTTAAGCAACTGCCTTTGGCTCAGGTCATGATCCTGGAGTCCCAGGATCGAGTCCCGCATCGGACTCCCTGCTCGGCAGGGAGTCTGCTTCTCCCTCTGACCCTCCCCCCTCTCATGTGCTCTCTCTCTCTCTCTCTCTCAAATGAATAAATAAAATCTTAAAAAAAAATAAGAAAATAAAATTAAAAAAAAATTTAAAAAATCATAAAAAAAGAGCTAGAATTAAATACTCTTCTACTATTATCAAAAATTCAACAGATAATGTCTAACATTTTAAGTCTAAAAATAGCCTATAAGCTATTTCATAGATAAGTAAATTATTAAAAAAAAAAACAAAACAGTAAAAGCTATTAAAAAGGCTGCTTTAAGGAGAGGCCCTGAACAATGTGGAGAGGTTCGGTGATTTACTTTATGTACCTTTTAAACCACGTATGTGAATCACTTTAATAAAAGTAATGAAAAGTACAAACAGACTGTAACAAAGGGCCCAATCTAAGAAAATTAAGGACAAAACAGCATATATGAAAAAGATCTCAAGCTCAACCTTAGTGAACAGGGTTATGTGATTACTAGAATTCTCCTGAGAATTACATATTAGTATAATTCCAGTTGAGAGTTACTAAAATCATGACAGAAAATCCGTGACTGATATGGAATCCATGACACAGAAGGCATGACCGAAAGAAATGAAGATATTAAAGCTGAAACAGACTCAGGGAGACAAGTGGATGCCATTAATTATTTGAAGGGCAATTTTAAAATATCTGAAGGTTTAAAAAGCAGAAGAAAAATCAGACCTATTCCTATACTGTTTCAAGTCAGAATTAGGACCAAGAATTAGGACCTTGGAATTAGGAATACCAAGTATTTGTATATTTTTACAGGTCAGAATTAGGAACATTGGCAGTTTCAATGAAACGCAGGTTTTCTTGTAACTAGAAATTAAGGAAAATGGAACAAGGCTGCCTTGTGGAAGACAACTCCCCCATTGCTAGAGATAGTCAACCATAAACTATATGACCGCTGTTTATAGTGGCTCTTACTTAACCTTTTTGAAGGTGCTAGAATGCTGGGGGAACCTAATTTCCCATAAAAACACACTGATACACAATCACACACAATTCTGCATACATTTCTAGAGTTCATCAGCCCTAAGACGTACCTCCATTGACCCGAGTAGAAGGCTAGAGTATCTACAGGTTTCCTTCAGTTTCTGCGACTCTAGTTAAAATAAGTGAAGGGTAAATGTATCATACTGTATCCGGTCCATGTTTCTGTTATCTATATGCGTGTTTCAGCTGTACAAGTTACCAGAACTATGGCCATCGGATTAGCATTTATGGTGCTTTGGGGAAAGAGGACTCTTCCTCCAGGTGGTCTAATTTGAAACAAGTGCTCCTCCGGGCTGCTGTGGCCCACGTCAGAGCATACCACTTGACAACAGAAGTGCCCAGGCTGGATGTTAGTCCCCACTCACCCATGCACAGGACACCTTCATACAAGGCACAACCAGCTCCAAGGTAACCAGCAGGCCAGAGACTGGTTATCTGGCTGAAGAGCTGAAGTATCCAAATTTTTACCAAAGTATTACAATGAATTTTACCATTGGTTGTTAAATCATCATAATACTTGGGGGAAAAAAGTAGGAAAAATGTGCATTACCCCATTTTTACTTCCAATGAAGAAAACAGATTTTTCTCCAATTTCAAGTCCATCACCTTCACTTCCACTACTTCGTTTTTCCACTTCGGCTTTTGCGATTTCCCAGAGAGTTTCACTAGGAGAGGGAGAAAAATAAAATTTAGAGAATCAAAGGGAATCCTTTCCAATATTTATTTCAAGCTCAGAGAAATTTTATTTCAGTTAAATTTATAAAACAAATCAACATTTCCTGGGGGACAATAAGCTGATAAAACCTCTGAGGATTAGTCATTTTCTTTGTCCTGGTTCATAGAAGAAAGCTGAAAATGATAAGCAGAGCCTTTGTCGCTAGGATTTGAGGCTGCCTTATTTTGGGACTTCCAGCCAAGGTTGAAAGCTGTCTGGGTTAGTTTCTCAGACATGTACATGAATGTACAAAGCATTTCGGACATCTACAACTTGAAAACCACCAACATCTAGGAAAATGGGGAGCATGTAAAACCAGCATACCAAATAATCTTGTTTTCTGAAATTTTTCTTTTTTGTTTTTAAATTATATTTCTGGCTCAAGATTCCCTGTTTTAATATATAAAATATAATGAAAGAAAAAAATAATCTAAAACCACATTTTGAAAATCATCTTCCCATTCATCTCTCTACGAACATATGTATTTTTTCACAAATAAGATTATACTTTTTTTTTAATTAAAGCCAAAATGAAAAATGGAGTATTGAACTAAAAAAAATACAAGATTTGATGTGTTCCAAGCATGAATCTGCTTTCTACATATACCAACTTGGGCAAATTATCCAACCTCTCTGGATTCTTCATTCCTTTATTAATTCAACAAATATTTATTGAGCAGCTAATATATGCAAGCTTCTGTGCTCTTCCCCAGGCTCACTTCTGTTTCTTCTCTAAAATGCCAATAAAGAATACCAACCTTATAAGATTATCATGATTGATTGTCAAAATGTGGTAATTCATTCCATTTAGGGCTTGACCTAAATATAATTATCTAAAATTATTGAGAGCTTATAATAATTATTCAAGAAACAGGGATGAAGAAAGGGGCTATAAAAGACCAATAGAGGTGTCCCTAAATGTCTGCACTAAAATGTATGCACTTATTTCACAGGTGAACTCCCTGAAAGTCAGTCCAGGCCTGTCTGCTCTTCATTTACACACCATTCTTTCAAAACGTGATTATCTGCTTTCCAAGCTCCCAGCAGAGAGGAGAGCAGGAGGTGCCCCTGGTGGAAATTTGTAACTATAACCATGTGCAACCAATTATCCCACGACGGGAAGTAAGCTGACAATTTTTCACATTAAGGTTCGTAAACTCAACAGAGATCAGGCCATGATCCACAAGGTGAGAAAAACAGATTTATCCTGCTCTGGACTCCAGAACCCCTCTCAGTTCCTGACCTCCTTATAAGTTGTTCAGAGAAGGTTCAGGTGTGATCTTGAGAGCAGGAAATTAAAACTGACATCACAGAACTGAAGAGCTAAAATATATTTTACAGGCCCCCCTTTAAATGCCATCTTACACTTTTCACATAGCTTTCCCAAGTTTCCCTCATTTATTGTTGTCCTGAAACCCTGCACCAAGAAGGGAGATGCGGAGAACTCTGAGGAGGTGGCTTTGTGGTCTAATTCACTGCCTGAACCCCTGCTTCTAGAACATTCCTTGGCCTGCAAGACATTTTTACTTAATAAGTGAACGGCTGGAGTTTAATGATCTTTCAAAATCTTAGTTTTCTACCCGGGGAACTTTTCTACCTGCTTGTGACTGAATCCATATGCTCAAGGGTAGTTCATAGGGATCCCTGACCATCCAGACAGCGGTTGCAAGCAAAAAAGATTCAGAATTTTCTTCCACAGGCAGGACCTCCTAGGCTCCTCTCCCTAAATATACCCCCAGCTGCCCTCCCTCCCCTGCTCCTTCCAGGCTGGGGTGGGAAAGAGAGGAAAGCCAGACTCTCGAGGGGAGCATAAACCGGGGGCAAACAAGGCTGCGGGGTATACCTGGGCATCGTGGCTCGACAGCCCCAGCGTCGTGGGCTCAGCGTTTGGGGCCTGCTTAAAATCAGGACGCCAGCGAGCTCCGAGACCTGCCGGATTGTGCGGACTCTTGGGTTGCCATGGGAGCGACGTCACAGGCTGCGTTGCGTGCGACAGAGGGCATCATGGGAAATGTAGTTCTCAGCGTTCCTTTTCAATTCTCGCTCAATGCCTCATCCTCTATGTGAGAGAATGAGGTGAGCCGTCTGACAGACCTGGAACCTAAAAGCTCTGGGCTGGAAGTGTTCTTTTACTTAAAAAGTATTCTACTAGGGGGCGCCTGGGTAGCTCAGTCGTTAAGCGTCTGCCTTCGGCTCAGGTTATGATCTCAGGGTCCTGGGATCGGGCTCCGCATCGGGCCCCGCATCGGGCTCCCCGCTCCGCGGGGAAGCCTGCTTTTCCCTCTCCCACTCCCCCTGCCTGTGTTCCCTCTCTCGCTGTCTCTCTCTCTGTCAAAAAAAAAAAAAAAAAGTATTCTACAGAGTACCAGACTATATGGCAGGGATGTCTGCTCTCTCTTTTCAGTCACTTTTCTCTCCCCGCCAGCGACACTTGGGAATGGAGGGTGAAACAAACTCCTGAGCTGTTTTCTAGTGATTTACTAGAGAATTGTGATTTTGGTATTTTCCAACTTTATGCTTGTTTAGTTCTTTCTGGGTTTATGCAATAGCACATCATTTATTAAGTTAATAAAGCAAACGCATCTCCATGATACTTCATTTACTTTATCTCCGAATCAATAGCAAACATTAAGTTATTACTATATGCATGAGCGCTACGCAGAGTATGGAATGAAGAGGTAAGACAAGATCTCCGCTCTTGAGAAGGATGCACACAACTAAAAGAAAGCCAGTGCTATAAGCTATTGTAGAGAGGTATAAAAAAAATCACATCATAAGAGTAAGTAATTATGCCAAAGAGGGTTGAAACCTTCAGGGCAGTGACAGTATTTGATCTATTTTGAATGCTCGGTAGACCTAGCCTCTCTGGCCCAAGATGTTTTCAATATTGAAGGAGATACTCTCCTTACACCCTTTTGCCGTTTGGCTTGGTGTAATGGTGTGATGTTCAAGAAGGTGAGCTTTAGATGGACTTAGAGTTCCGTTCTGACTCAGCCACACTGGCTAAGTTGCCACATTGCCACAGTGGGTAAATCATTCAGTATCTCCAAGCCTCAGTATCTGATCATGTAAAGCAGGGGAAATTTATGAGTTTGAAATGAAATAAATATATGTAAAACATAAAGTATGTGTGCCTGACACATTATAAGTGCTTCATGCTTGGTATTTTCATGTTGTAAGCTACCGATCCGCAACTTTGAACAAAGAAACACAAAGATCACGTTCCTGGAAATGAAGCAAAAAAAAATTTTTTAAGGAACAAAAAAAAGCATTCACGACATAAAATCTTTGGGATCAAAATCCTCCCAACACCTAGGTGCATTTTGAAGACATAACAGACTACAGTTGCACATAGAAAGGGATGTAAAAGGAGTGCAGTTCAATAGAGAGAGGATGATCGCAAGGGAGGTTGGTACATCTGCCATTGAATCAGCATCTATATCTTGGAGCTAGCCTGCCTATAAGTTCACAAACTGGTGTGGGACAGAGTGTAATGAATTATAATAATTTGAGTTCCGGAACTTTGGAAGCCCTTTGTATGTTAATTAGGAAGCCCTGTTGATATGAATAACAAAAGTGGCAGCTAACATTTTTGCCATTTACTTGCTATGTGCCCGGCACGCTACTAACATTTAAAAGGTATAATTGTTTGGATAACTGGGATAGAAGGTTGAAGAAAGAAGCCTGGTAACAAGGAAGGTAAAAGTTGTCTGGCTGGGCCCTGGTCACCAGCATGGGTTCAGAGGTGAATCAGGGGATTCTGCTGATCTCGTTGAGCAGATGAGTTCCCTTTTCTACCCTTATGCCTCCTGAGGCTTCATCTTTGGACAAAGCGACCTTCCTGGGTAGATGAAAATTGTTCTTAAGGTAGGAATATATAGAGATTTGAGCTCCCCTACTGGGTGACCCCTAAAAGACTCAAGGATTTCAATGGTGGTAATAGAGAAGAAGACAATTTTATGATGCTTGCTGGGTGGAATAAACAACAGTGCAGAAGAATACAGATGTGTGCAGAGTGTATTTGGGGAATTGTGAATGGTTAAGGTACAAGCATATAAAGTGGTGTGACTATGGTGGGAGAGGAAACTGGGCAGGTTGATTGGGCTTCGTTGAAGGATCTTGCAGCCTGGATTTTACTGTGTTGGTTGTAAAAAACCAAATATGATTTTAAAATAGGGGTGCTCCAAGACTGGACCTGAGTTCCAGTGAGATAATTTTTTGCAGCTGTGTGAAGGATGTTTTGGAGTCTGGAAGTCCATATGGAAGCTATTAACAATAGCCCAGACAGTGACAGAGTTTTCACATTTTTCCCCTTGTTTTCAAAGTTATATAAGCTTATTGTAGAAAAAAAATAGTGTATGGAAAAAATGAAGAGGGTAAAAGAAGCACACCCCAGAAGCAATACCTATTAAACATTTTGGTGTATTTCATTCTAATCTGTCCTCTTACAGTTGAGATTTTACTGTAAAGTTAATTAACATTCTGATTTTAACATGTATTTCTCATTACAATTTTTAAAAATCCATCGTAGGGTGCCTGGGTGGCTCAGTTGGTTAAGCGACTGCCTTCGGCTCAGGTCATGATCCTGGAGTCCCTGGATCGAGTCCCGCATCGGGCTCCCTGCTCGGCGGGGAGTCTGCTTCTCCCTCTGACCCTCCCCACTCTCATGCTCTCTCTATCTCATTCTCTCTCTCAAATAAATAAATAAAATCTTTAAAAAAAAATCCATCATAAACATAACTTTGATGGCTGCATAATATTCCACTATACAGGGTTCTCATAATTTACTTAAGCATTCTCCTCATATTGAGCTTTTTTTATTTTTATTTTTTGAGAGAGAGGGAGAGCACACATGCTGCACAAGGCAGTGGGGGGAGGGGTCAGGTGGGCGAATCTTAAGCTGGCTCTCTGCTCAGCATAGAGCTGGACTTGGGCTCGATCTCACGACCCCGAGTTCATGACCTGAGCCGAAATCAACAGTCAGATGCTTAACCAACTGTGCCACCCAGGTGCCCCTCATATTGAGCATTTGAAGTGATTCAGAGTAAACACCTGAGTTGGGCCCCGTAGAGCCTTTCTCTGGGATTTTTTTAAACTAGAATTGGGAAGCTCAAGTCATTCCCCCTCTGGAGGAAATTGGCATGTTTTCTGCTGAATGAAGCTGTTTTGTTGATAAATTCTTTATCTATCCTGGATATTAACCCCTTCATCAGATACATGACTTGCAATTATTTTCTCCCATTCTACAGGTTGCCTTTTCACTTTATTTCTTTCGATGTGCGGAAGTTGTGAAGTTTGGAGTTGTCCCATTTGTCTTTTTTTTTTTTTTTACTTTGCTGCCTGTGCTTTTGAAGAGTTGTCGATTTAATAAAGCCACCAATATAATCTATCTTCTGAAAGGGATCCCAACCCCCACTCACCCACCCCTCCCATTGATTAGATTATGTTAGCAAAGTGCTGGAAGGAAGGGTACCCTGTATTCAAGTGCTGTGGTGAACACTTGAGTCTTGTTCTGGAGTTATTTGCTAATAGATGTTACCCTAGTAAGCAAGTTTTTGTTTCTTGACTATTACTGGACCTAAAAATACTTATAAAGCATACAGTGAAGATTTCAGATTGACATTGATTATAAATATGCCTCCAGAATCACTGTGACTATGTTTGATATAGGCAAAATTAAGTTCAACAGGTAAAATTATGGTGTAGAGCAAGTGTGTATTTCATTTCCTCACCCCAGCTTCTGTCGAGGTCCATCCATCTCTTCTTTGCAGGAGCCACCTTCCCACTTAAGTGCCCAAGAGAAGCGTGAATCTTGGTCCCACTGGGATAAGGATGAATCTTACTTCATGTTAATATCTATGTGTGGACTTTACCTTAACTTGGAGTTGTTTCTTTTTTTTTTAAAGATTTTATTTGAGAGAGAGTGCTTGTGCACGAGTGGGGGGAGGGGCAGAGACTGAGGGAGAAGCAGACTCCCTGATGAGCAGACAGCCGGACAGGATCCCAGGATCCTGAGATCATGACCTGAGCTGAAGGCAAACGCTTCACCAATTGAGTCACCAAGGCGCCCCTTAATTTGGAGTTTAAAGTTACTCTTGTAGCAGTAAAATCCCTTTCTTCTTTCAGGGAAAAGAGAACAGGGAAAAACATTTCTCCATGAACCCGTTAGCAGGGAAGCTTCTCCACCCTGTTATTCCTGCTCCTCACTGCTCTTCCCTCAGTCCCCACATTCCAGGAGCCTTTGATCTGCAGGAATCAGTCCAGAGACTCTGCATTGGGGAAGTCCAAATTCCATGGCAGCTAGGGGGTAGGTGGACAGGTGAAATGTGTTCTTGGCAACCCAGGAACCCTTGAAGTCTTTGTCTAGCGAAATATGATTATCTGTGGTGGTTAATTCTTCAGGATTATACTACAGTACAATTGGGTAAGTGCATTGTTCTAGGAACCCAGCCACTATGTGTTTTTTCCTTTGGGAAAAATTTCCAAACAATCAATTAATAAGCACATTTTCGAACAAAGACTCTGTAAGTTGTGACTAACTTTTCTTGTAAATTGAGAGTTAAATTCATTTCCAAGCTAGGACACTATTTGACTTTAAGGACACATGCATAAAAAAATCCAGAACATTTAAAATAAATTTTTAGAACACAGTCCATCAACTCACCTGCATGAAATAAGCTACTTATGGAACTTATATGAAATCATGGGAGAACCCCATGATTTATACATATTGTATATGTGTCAATATGCATACATACATCTTAAAATTACAATTTGCCAAAACGGTTTCCTTTTATATGGATAAAATAAAGCAACACTGAAGACAAAGCATGAATGCAAGAGAAGGAGGTAATAACTACCATTTTCACTAGTAGTACACCTCAGCTTTGACAATGAAAACATTAGGTACTTCCTGAAGATTGTTCAAAAGATAATGCTCAAAATGGGTTTTGTAAATCATTTATTA